TATAAATTCATATTTATATTTATACGTAGTGCCGTCACCCCCAAGCTCTAACTCCCACAGGAGTTGGTCCCGAGCACTCGACAGAGGTCATCGTTCAACTGCCACTCACCCTACAGCTGGGGCCTTCACCTGCCCTTCCTCTTTCCCGACTCCAGCTGGAGATGGTATATACAGCTCTATCTCCCGCAGAAGTGCCCATGAGCTTCGACTTCCACAGGAGTCAGCATATTTATATATTTTGAAATAGCGCTTGGACTCTGAAGCTGCTTCAAGGGATGTCCCATTTAACAAGTGGATAATCAATTTTAAAATGTAAATAAGTTAAATTAATTCAGTTAAGTAGACAACAGTAAATTAGCATTCTGTACAGTGTTGAAAATTCTAATAACACAACAAAAAATCTGAAACTGCATCCCAATTAACATACTATCCAGCCTAAATAGTATTTGAAAATAGAATTAGTAAGTCCCAAAGCTTAGTAACTTTTAAAAAGAGTGATGCCAAAGGTTCCCAGATGGTGTACTTTTCTATTAGAAATCCAAACAGTGTAAAACCGTCTGTTGTCTTGAATTTGAATAAAACTATACAAATCCAGAGGGAAATCATGAAAACAAACTACAAATAGAGCAGATGTGTGAGGTAGAGTCAGGTAGAGAGGCTTCACTAAAGTTTGAATGACTATTAATTAATATCTAGCCTGCAAAATATTGAAATCACATTTTACATGTTATATTTCATCTGTAACAACAATGTAAACTTCTATAAAAATGTGTTTGGACCAAGCGGCAACCACCCGCTCTCCCCCGGGAAGCCAATATGGAAGTAAGTAAAACTACAATTTATCGACTCGTCTTGGGGGGTTGGCTCCAGGAAGTCCAGGTGATTTTTGACTGCAATGGGAAATTTGCCATTTTTACAGCTGATAAAACATGTTTACAGGCTGGTACAAAAGATGGCTTTGGTGCATTTTGCTATGATTATCTATATGATTATAGTTATATTAAGTCTAATAATAAAGGGCATGGCCACTTGAGTGATAGCTATGTCTTGCTGTTTGCTGTCTCGTCACCTCAGCTGGTTCTGGCTAATCAGGCGCTGAGCTCGGCATATTAATTGTATTTTTGTTTGGGTTAATGTTTCTTTACTCAGTCAATTGCCTTTTGGAATTATTTCCTATGATTATGAGATGATATGGCATGCTGTGTGCACTTAATTGTGCTCACAAACCAGAATATGACAGATTGATTAGCTGTAGGCTCTAGAACAGTGATCTGAAGTGTTGTCATACAGTCTTATGCTGGATTTCATCAATAGTCTTGCATTTACTAACACTATTGATTGTTTGTATTTCACGTTTTCCTCCTGTTGAAAAACGTTAAGTGGCTCAATGTGTTACAACAGTGTTTTTAAAAGTCTAAACACTTTAGTGATATAGTACACAGCCAAGCACATGTGGTCAGAACACAAACGAGTCACAGGTAATAAAGTATTATATAATAAATAAAGCGTTTCTCTGTCTAAAGCTGCGGTCACACAAGGCTTATTCTTCCATAGACTTCCATTCATACGCATGCAAATTCATCGGACCGGAAACGCAGGGTCATGCACTAAGTTCCACTGATTGCTACTGTGCAAAGTTCAAGCTTTGTCACCTGCGAAATCGCATCACTTGACTGCGTGAGACCAATAGAGGATCAAAACATGACATCTCTGGACAGAAATTTAAAACATGGAGCAATCGCTCGCTTTTTTAAATGTCTAATAAGCTTGTTTAATCCCGCCCCTTTTCGCAGCGCCGCACGACAGAATTTCGCAAACACAAGCTCTAGTGTGACCGCAGCTTTAGCCAGGTCCAAGCAAAATGCCAGCAGGTGTCTGTAGCTCCGCTCACTCTTCACCTATTTGACCTTGTTTGGTATCCAAAATGGCGACGGTTCTTCTTTTGCAGTTTTCAGAAAGTGATGTCACAGATACTACTTCAATATCTTTTGCAGTATATGGATTGGACATTAACTTTTGGATAATTACGCAATGACCTTTGGAGATTTCTCTGCATGAAAGACTTGCAAATGGCAGATTAACCTGCTGCTGAATCTTCAAGATGGTAGGTAATTAAACATGACAGAAATGTGAATGATGTGTGGAGATAATTGACAGGGGACATAACTAAGCAGCATAATGGTCCATTAATGAGAAAGTGGTATGTTTCGATGTTTGTATACTCATCTGTTACATACTCAAAAGTATGCTTTTTCTTAACAAAAAAAGGACATTCTTTTAGAACATAGTATAAGTATACAAATTGGCAACTTTATTTTTAACAGTCAAACTGATCTATGTGATCACAGGTTAAGTCTTAATAGACGCGGTTGGCATAGAAGACACAGATGCATTTAACAAGCAAATTATAAGCATTGATATTACAAAGATAAACAAAATGCTCCAGGAAATCAATATTGCCCAGTACTGGAAATGTCCATTTCTAATCTAAGCCAGACCATACAGTATATACATAAAGATTTCTTTTTTCTTCTTTTCTTTTTGCCAGTACAATGTCAAGTCAACTGGATCTAGATTTGAGACTATCACGTTTTCACACTGGCCCCAATTTGCTTACTCTTTTCTATAGTGCTTTTTTTTTTGTTTGTTTATTCTATCCTTCGCTCTGGTGGCATGGTTTGGAAGACTGTCCCGTGAAAACAGAAATATACAGAGCCAGGTTATTAAGTGGTCTAGCAGGTTGATTGGTGAATCACAGCTGAATACTGAATCCCTGTTTAGTAAGCAGCTTTTACAGGTTGCCGAGAACATTAGTAGCTGTAGCTCTCATCCTCTGTCTGAGGAGTTTAACCTACTCTCTTTGGGTCGAAGGTTTCAGATGCTTTTTAGTAGGACAAAACGTTACAGGAATAGCTTTGTCCCATCATCTATTGTCACTCTGATTAAATTGTAATATTTTATAATGAATGTTTTATATGTTTTTATATGTACTTTATGTGTACATTCTATTTTTTGTGTGGGTATGTATATGTGTGATTTAATTGTTTGTATCAAATGCCAAACTTTGCCGCAAAAAGAATCTACCTACAGGTACAAATAAAGACAACTGTACAGAACTGAATTACTCCCAGGGCTGTTTTATATCAAAGCTGATATCAGCCGCACCATATTGTTGTTTCATAAGTTAACATCTAATTTTTACAAGGTGGGTCATTAGCCAAACGCTCAACCCCAACCTGGAGAACTAGAACATACACTCATAGACTACAGGCAATTTATCTTACCCAATTCACCTATAGCGCATGTCTTTGGACTTGTGGAGGGAAACCAGAGCACCCAGAGGAAATCCACACGAACATGGAGAGATCATGCAAACTCTACACAGAAATGCCAACTGACCCAGCCTAGGCTTAAACCAGCGCAGCGGATGCCCATCTAGCCGCAACCTATTTCTGGGAAACATCCAAACACACTCATTCAAACACACTCATACACTACGGACAATTTAGCTTACTCAATTTATGTGTACCGCATGTCTTTGGACTGTGGAGAAAACCGGAGCACCCGGAGGAAACCCATGCGGACGTAGGGAGAACATGCAAACTCCACAAAGAAACGACAACTGACCCAGCCGAGGCTCAAACCAGTGACCTTCTTACTGTGAGGCAACAGCACTACCTACTGTGCCACTGCGTCGCCATTTATATTTATATTTACTAAAATTATATATGTATATAATACAATTTATACATGAATTTGAATATCTATGCAAAAAAAAGGTTTGTATACATTTGTTTTTATGTATGTGTGTGTGTGTTACATATATACATAATAGAGTGGAGGAACTATGACGTCAATTTGTATGCAAAAACAAAAACTTTGTTTTAGCATTTTAATAGTATTTTATAGTTTGAAGTATTTTTCTAATAAGTAATTCCTATTGTGTGTAGATAATGCCTTCACTTGTAGAGACTGTCAAGACAGATTTATTTGTTAATCCTTTATTTTAATTAAATGATATTATGAAGATACTGCTTACCAGTGCAGCCTGTCTCTGTCCTGCTCTCAGTAAAGCAGAAGTGTGAATAAATGTGTAAAAATACATATATGTTAACTGTCATTTTAACGTGATCAAGTGAATTTCCTGCATTTTTTTTTCATCTGAACACATTTAACTCTGTTATAACTGCAATATTTACACTCCTCCATAAAATGTATAGCATATGTGACTGCATGTGCTGCTTTTTGCTGTACTTCATAACATAATAAGAAATATTGAATGTTGTTCTGTGTCCATGATGGAACTTGCAGGCATTTGATAAACTTGTCCCTAATGCCTCATTTCTGTTGCTTTTAAGGTAAGCGGGCTGTGTGCACGCGAGCGATGCACTTATTTAAATATGTCTTATGATAATACTACTGTATGTAGGCACATTTATCCATGCAGCTTTAAAACTTTTACAACAGCCGTAAAGCAAAACAGATGTATTTAAAAGATCCAAAAGGCACGTAGCTTTAAGTTTTTTTTTGCGTATTTATTTGTTTATAATATATAGTATGTATTATAATATAGAAAACAAAGAAAGTACATTTTGTCATGGAGCATATGTCTAAAAATAAGCTATAACAGTTATTTGTAGCAGTGCCCCGAAGGCATTGTAGTCCGTTCATAGACTAATGTTAGCTTTTCAGTTTGCATTTAAGATCCAAACGTGCTCAAAGTTGTATTTTCATATGAGGATTATAAAGCTGAACAAAACGTGTAATGAACAGTGTTTGAACACAGAGCTTATTTTTCGCAATCTTCGAAAAGCCTATTGGAAAATTCTATAGGGATTTTATCGAGGGAACCAGCTTTATGCAAGCAGCCGATTAGCCAACAAGGTGATGTCATAGTTCCTCCACTCTCTAAATATATAATACAAACTTTTTTTTAGATGTGAATAATCATGATTAATCTTTGCCCACCACCTAATAATAATAAAAACATATATACTTACAGTAGGACTTCCATATTGGTGGCTGATAATCTTCAGGATCTACAAAAAAAAAAAAACAACAACAAGATACAATGTTAGAATCCAATGTTCTGTGCTTTGAACACGTGCTTATTTCCTTATCTCCTTTCTCAGGTTTAACAAAGATACTTACTGTCAAGTTAGAGAGTGTATGTGATTCAAGGTTATTACTTTGTTTTATTAATGATAAGTAATTCTGTAAGCTGGGATGCGTAATGGCAACATAATCCCTCCTCTACATTCCCCTCAAGGGTGTACATGTTTTAACATTTATTTAATTTAATCCGGGGTCGCCACAGCGGAATGAACCGCCAACTTATCCAGCAAGTTTTTACGCAGCGAATGCCCTTCCAGCCGCAACCCATCTCTGGGAAACTATATTATATTATATTATATTATATTATATTATATTATATTATATTATATTATATTATATTATATTATATTATATTATATTATATTATATTATATTATATTTTATTTTATTATATTATATTTTGCAGTTTAATAAAGGAATCACTGGATTCACTAAAAGGTTAATATGGAGGGCCATTGCTCCTGGAGGGCCACTTTCCTGCATAAATGAGCTAAACTCTGCAGTACAATGGCCCTTCAGGACTGAGTTTGGACACCGCTGCTGCATAATATATTTTAATTCGACATTTGCTGAGAATGTAGTCCAGACATACTATTTTTAGTTCTTCAGTAATATGAATGTAAACTAATTTTGGTTTTCAACACAACCCCAGATGATTTAATAGAAATGAAAGTGAAGTTGGAATAGTGACACTACAGAAAAACAGACACAATAAATTAGATAAAACATAATGTATAATCTTCCCTTGCTATGTACATGCTCCACCCAATGTGAGATCCAGTGCTTTTGGTTATTAATGCTCTTTTAGTTCAAGCTTTGGGTGAATATCTAACTTTAAATAGCATTATGGTAAGTATTCTCTGAACTAGGATGAGATAAATGAATGAAAGAGCGGCACCTCAAGTAAGCCAGTAATTTCTCTAAGGAACATCACAGCTAAACACGGTTCAGTACGGCTGCTGAACACAGACACTCTAGATACAGAGGTTCATTTGCATACATTTTGCATACTAATGAACAGAAGCTCTGAGCTCCCAGAGAAGACCATCTGAAACAGAACAGGCTTAACTGTATTTTAATTCAAATTATTTTAATTACTTTTTCATGTAAAGTGACAGCTTACCCCAAAAAAATATATTCTGCAATCATTTATTCATCCTTAACTTTTCAATGTTTTCCATTTTTTTGAAAATTTTCCATTAATTAATTTATTTATTTATTTATTTTTATTACATATGTAACCCTTTACATGGTGCTCATTAAAATACATATTGTAAAGTGTTACTTGGAGTTATTACAAGACTTTTGGGCTTTTAGGATTTTAAGGGCACCTATTTCCCCCTATTTTCAAGATTTAAGATAAGTCTTTTGTGTCTCCAGAATGTGTCTGTAAAGTTTCAGCAAAAAACAACAGATTATTTATTCAGATTATTTTTTATACCTTTTAGAATTTTGTAATATTCAGCACTGAACACCTAGTAGCTGTTTTTGTTGCCTGTGCTTAAATGCAAATGAGATAGTTCTCCCCACTCACCATTTCCATGTGCCTGTCATGGTGTGTTCACACCAGACGCAGAAAGCGCAGATGAATCATGAACATTTTTAGTTTACTCGCTTCGTCCGCGTGTCAAATCCGCTTCACAATGGACTCTGATTTGCAACATAAGCAGAGCCTATGTCTGCCCGGTGACTGTAGCTTTGTTGCTAAATAGCTAACATGGATTTTATTGAGAAAATAGTTGTTTTTATGTGCTTTATGAAGGCTGAAAAACAGCGTCGATACGTTTGGAGCCATGTCTGAGTTAACCACATCCATTCAGAGGTGCACCTAGTTCTGTGAGTTCATAAACTCCTCCAGAAACTTTAACTGGATGATGGAGCGGTGCTTTCGACTGAGCCAAGCCCAGTTTGATGAACTGGCACTACGTCATAAGCATGCCCATTACAAAAGAGAAAGCTCCTGATTGGTCAATGTGGAGTGAATGTTCGCTGAACTGATTTTTCCAGCTTGAGCGAATCGCATCAGTCGCGCCGCCTCATTCGTAAGTATCGCACCGCAGGATGTCTTTTCACGTCTTTGCATTGATTTAACATGTAAATCACTCATCCTTGATGCTCTTCCGTGTCTGGTGTGGGCGCAGCATCAGAGTGTTTCCTCATCTGCTTTGTCAAATAAACAGTACAGTCCAACAGACATCAAGGAATAAGATCTCATGTAACGTTTGAGAGAAATACTACAATAAGAACTTTCCCAATGATTATTTGATTAATTTGTGGTGAGGAGTTAATTCAAGTCTTTCTGCAATGATAAATCGCACACAATGTCGTTGCAAAGTTCAGACAGACACAGTAAGCGGACACACAGTGCACTCTTTTAACTTTGCACAGCAAACGTGACACTATGCACTTTAATATCCACTGCTGTATGTATATACAAATGTTAATGTACTAAATAAACCTGATTTAACGTGCACAAACCAGGATTGAAGCGTCTTCTTGTACTTCTTTACTCAAGCATCTTCTTGTATAACTGTACTGACATGCGCTATGGTGATGAATTACATATTGATTTTACTGTCTTTGACTTACTTTATTACAAACATGCACTGTTTTAAAAACATTTTAAATTTGCAAAACTCACTCTTGATCACATTTGATGATGAAAAATTACTCTCATCTTTGTTTTCCGAAGAAACTCCCCATCCACCCCTTCTCCCCCTGTCTTCCTTTACCACGAGGAGCTCTCGAGAACTACCTGATCTCGTACTCCCCTTACATACTCAATCGACCAGGCGGGAGCCCTGGGCTCAATTTTCTCCGTGCCCAGTTTTCTCTCATGGGACAGCATGCCAAATCTGCTAACATTTGTCAAACAATATCTAAGTGGCCATATATAATAATAATATTAAAATATTATTAATAGCCATAGAAATAGCCATATCTCCCAGCTCTACTTTATTGTCCATTTTCCTTTTGTTGTGCTTTAAAGAAGTAAACTAATTCCAGAATATTTTGTAAAAATGTTTGTGCAAATCCCTTAACTGCTGTCTTTGGTTTCTATATGAAAATAATAATTTGTCAAAAAGTGAATTGGACTGCATTGCCTTTACTGCGAACGCAGGGAGAACATGCAAACTCCACACAGAAACGCCAACTGAGCCGAGGCTCGACCAAGCGACCCAGCGACCTGCTTGATATGAGGCGACAGCACTACCTACTGTGCCACTGCTTCGCCCAGTCTATCTTATAAAAAACAAAATACACAAAAAAGGTACTCTTATTATTAATCTGATGTATGCACAAACTATTCATTAGCTCATCTAAAGCACTTTATTATTAATTCAATATTACAAAATATAGTTATTGTACATATGACATATTGTACAGATTTAACAAAAATACCAAGTATGCTTTATATCAGCGGTTCTTAATCTCAGTCCTGAAGGTTCGGTGCTGATTTTAGCTCCAACCCCAATCAGACACATGTGGGCTGGCTAATCAAGCTCTTAAGCTGTGGTCATACTGGACTTTTCTCCACAACGCCTTCCATTTAGAGATCTGCATGGGACTAAATTTTGAATTCCACTCCCACCCGATCCCGCCAGGATTAAGTCCGAACCTGACTGCTCCCAATTATATTCAGCATTTGTTGTCCCGGTACCCAACTCGCCCCGTTTTCTACCCGCCTATAACAAGCTGTCTGTATAAACACACAAACACACACACACACACACACACACACACACACACACACACACACACACACACAGACACACAGCTCCAAGCAAGTGACACAAAGATCACGCTCCTGTTCAAATCACACTAAGTAGCGACCACTCCCGTCCTTTATGCGGAAATTTATTTCCGCACCGCAAGAAATCTTGTTGGGTCCGACAAGACCTCTACTTCCATTCATACGCACACAAATGCGTCAGACTGCGACAAGTTTTGCAATTTTGCAGCTTGGTGAAGTCTGACCTGCGAAATCACATTAAGATCAAAACATGACCTCTGTAAACAGAAATTTTAAACATGGATCAATCGCTCGCTTTTTTAAAGTCTAATCATCTTGTTCAATCCCACCCCTTTTCGCAAGACCTAGCTGAGCTTAAACTCCCCTCACCCTGCAAATGGAGGAAGCCCCAGGCTTGAGGATCTTATGAGGGCTCTCTCCTGCGACACCATGCCAAACTCGCTTTATAATCAGTTATCAAGTGTGAACTCTTGATCTAGGCTTTTTAGAAACATCCTTGCAGGTGTGTTGAGGCAAGTTGGAGCTAAGATCTGCAGGACATTGGACCTAAAGGACCGAGCTTAAGAACCCCTGCTGTAGATAGTCTAGTTTTTATAGTTAAATGTTTTTAACTAAACAAAGTGTAGAAAAGAGTCAGTCACGTCAAATAATCTTTACTGAAGAACAGACATCCAGCTAACTGTAGCAGAGTCAAAAAGAAAAGACATGTTTAAACTGATCAGACATGAAGACAACAAACACACCTGAGACAACATTATGATTTATCTGTGTATTTAACCCATCTAGTTTTAAAAGGGTAGATTTATATGCTAACAATCAACAAAACACCAAGAGTACTGTATATTAGTTGACCATACATGCTCGCCAATTCAAATTCATTGTCCAGTAATTGATTAAATTTGAACATCTTATCAACAAATGTTAAAACATTATTGTGATAAATTAACCAGCATATTTTAGTAGTTCAATCTTTAAATTAATTGTCAGCCCTAACATTTAATTTATTTCTTGTGAACTATTACTGATCATAAGTTAGACACAGTTAAACAAAATCTGCCAAGTGTATCATTAAATTACCCACCTAATTCTTTCTCCGAAGTCCAAACACAAAAGTCTGAAATCATCGCTGCGAGAAATAAATAAATAAAAGAGGGTTTTCAGGAATAAATC